ACTAGTAAGTGTTACTTAGTAGGTAATGGATCATGATTGGACTGTTATTAGGTTTTATTAATCTCAAGTCCATCTCAAAATCTATAAATATAGGTCAAAGGGAAGAAGATATGTGATTGCATTTATTATGAATTTAAAATTTCACTATGACCTCCGATCAGATTAATCACTGACTTGAATGTTAGAGTGCCTTTGACAGGTACTCCTAGGTGGTTTGGAATGCAAGGACCGAATGATTTTAACTAAGGACGTATGGAAATACCTAAGCGAACTTGGAGTAAAGTGTGAATAAGTGTTTTGTAGAAATCATCGACCCTACACCCGAAATTTTTTGGTGCTCACCGTGAGGCTGAGTGATCTAGAAGGAACCCAATGGTGACCATGAGAAACTTGAGCTTAGAGACCCGACCGAGATGATCAGAGTACTACCACAACAGATGTTGGAGATGCAACAACAGTATGAGGGAGATTTGGCCACTGTAAGGACTGAGAATGCAACAAGGGTCACTAAGGAAAAGGTCACTAATGAGGAGGAAAAAACTGTCTGGGCGAAGCAAATAGAGCAACACTCCGGACCGGGTGGCACAAATCAAATTACAAGAACCATGGTCAGGGAAAGCGAGACAAAAATCGTCCAGGAGGAAAGTACTACAATCAGCAAGGAGCCATACACTATGAAAACAAAGAACACAACTAAGATGTTGTCGTTCGTTCTAGCCATTATGGAGGCCCGCATATCAGAACAGTTTGTTCCTCCCAACTTCGACCTAGTCTGAGGAAGACGGGAGACGCACGGAGAGTGTCCACTCATGGCAAGCTCACAGCAAAGTGGGAGTGGCCCTTCAGGGTATATGAAGACCTTCAGAATGGAGCATACCGTCTCTCGCACCCGAACGACAAAACCGTCTCGAATACATGGAATGCCTCACACTTAAAATTTTATTTCAGTTGAAATTATGATTGTAATATCCTTTTGATTTCAGATATATAATACAATGCTCCAGATTTCCACTACTCGCACTACTTAATTACCGGCGCGCTAAGCAGAAACCGGCCGCCAGATTTAAGAACTAACAGGCCGAACGGGTGGTGAATGACAAGTTCATATATAGAACCACTGTCACCCGACTCCAAAGCTAACAAGTCAAACGGGTGGTGAATGACGAGTTCATAAATAGAACCACTACCACCCGATTCAGACACTAACCTACCGACCAAGTGGTGAATGACGAGTTCATAAATAGAACCACTACCACCAGATTCAGACACTAACCAGCCGACCGGGAGGTGAATGGCATGTTCATAGAAAGAACCACTACCACCCGACTCCAATATTAATAAAACGGTCATTAGAAGAAGGGCAAGTTCAATTCTTAAAACCATTGCGTTTTAGAAGAAATAAAGAAGTTTATATAATTATCACCACCACCTGACGGTCAAAACTAACAAAATCTCTTAGTGATAATTTTAGAAAAAGAACGCATAGGTAAAATGCCCTAAACAGACAACAAAGTAAATAGTCGAACGATACAAGACGGAGTTCACGAAACTTCAAAATTCATTTATAAGTGTTCAAACTTGTAACATTTGGAGTAAACGGCCATCGGCCGGAAATCAAAACAATCCAACCCTTTCAAAAAGCAAAAAAAAAAATCCCCTATACTCTAAAAATCATGCTTCATCGTCCTCATCCAGACGTCCCTCCTCTTCGGCAGCCCCATCTTCCTTCGTCGGCGAAGCATCTACCAGCATCATCTTGGCCAATGTCAAAACCGGCAGCCAAAGGGTCCCCCCTAGCAGAAAGACGGCCTGACGGAGAGCCTTATTGAAGCCTTCTTCAAGCTCAATCTGAACATTTGTGTTCAGAGTAACAATGGCCTCGTTGGCCTTCACTAGCTCACCGACAAAGCGATATACTTGCTCCTGCAGCTCCTTTTCGCTTGCAATCAGCCTCTTCGTCTCCAGCTTCAGCCGCCCGGCCTCCTCCACTATTCGGTCGCTCCTGGTGCAGGTATCCTTCAGTTGTTGGACGGTCGTGCTCAGCTCATGACGCGCCTCGTCCAACTTCTCTTGCAACATCGACCGTTTCTTCTCGCAATCTTGGTGCTCAAGAGTGAGAGCTTCCATCTGAGCCCGAAGATCTTCCACGGTCTTCTTTTCGGCGACCAGCTGCGTTTGGACATCCCTGGTGCTCCTCCGATCAGCAAACTCGCGTATATACCATGCCAGCATTGCCCCCGGCTCGCGAACTCCAATGCGGACTCAGTGATGTCTTTTTCTGACATAGGCTCCACCATCGCTTGTTGCGATGAGCTCATATGAAAGCTCACACGCCCACTCACATTGAACGCCGGGTCGAAGAGACCGCCCGACAGGGGGTGAGGAGTGCTACCCTCTCGGCGACTCCTCTTTGAGGACGACTTCTCTCCCTTTTTGGACTTTCTCTTCTTATCCAGAGGGGTGGCAGTAGGGATGATGGCCACCTCAGACATCTCCATGTTTACCATGGGAGGCGGTTGAGCGGCAACTGTCACAGGAGGATCTGACTGTGTCACCGTCCTCGATTGAGCGCCTGTCAGTGCATGACTTGATCCGACCGACCGGGGATCCCTCCTCCGGGAAGACGACACATAACTTGTCTTACGGGGCGCTGGGAGAGACATGATATCTGAAAAGAAAACTCAAATTTAGCTAAGTTAATACGAAAATACTACGCAGATAGTGGCAAATGCCATACCAAACACCATTTGATCGAAATCCTCATGGCCAAGGCTTTCAACTAAATTCCGGGCAGGGAAGCGGTGAGATAAGGCGTTAATGGTCTTAACCGCCTCTATCTCGACGGGGGTCATAACACCGACCGGAACGACATTTATCTTCGCTGGATCCTTCGTCCATTAAAAGGGGAACAGTGGATCGCCCGCTTCGGTGTGAAATTGAGACCGTCCGCTCTCTCTAATTATTACTTTGAAACATCGGTGTTTGAAATTTTTGAAAGATTCGGAATACGGCTTGAATAGGCAACAATCATGGACGGAAGTCAGGGGGACCCAGCCTCGCTTAGCGACCGGCCGGACATTGAAGTAGTGGAGGAAGATGGAAACAGTGGGAGTCGCTAGGGCCGCACACATCGCCACGAACGCTTGGATACACGCCCAACCGTTTGGGTGAAGCTGAGAAGGGGCGACATTCAACCTTCGAAGCACAGCCGATTGGAATGCAATAAAGGGCACCCGAACGAACATCTGGTTGAACAAATATGTATATACAAAGAAGAAGTCCTCAGTGTAGGACCCCTTCCCATGGAAGACTCGTTCGTTAGGATGCCTAAAACCAAGACGGATCAAGCGAGCGTCTTCTCCATCCCTTGCTATGAACGACTGTTCCGCCCACAACTACAGTTCCTCCCGGGTGGAAAAATCAGACTCATAGGATCCCACTTCGTGAGAAGCCCAGTCGTAACCCCCGATGGCGGTCCAACCGCCAGCCGGTTCTGCCCGTTCCACGTGTATATCGATACGCCCCTCAAGGAGGAAGAGCGATATCCTGTTTATAACCCTCTCACCACCACGAACAGGGGATCTCGGCCCCGATCCCTCCTCCTGCTCGGGCCTCTCCAAATATGACAAAGACACCAAGCTGGGAGACGATGACCTGCCCCCGTCGGATGAATCCCCGCTGTCCCTACCCGTTGACCCATCAGAAGAAGAAATACCAACAGTAGCCATTTATTAATTACCTTGGAAAAAGAATTTCAAGCCGAGCGGCAGCAACAGAAGAGAAAGAGTGTGTGAAAATGACTGAGCCCAACGCTTCTATTTATAGAAAAATTTTTGAAACCGCTGATTCATATCCACCGTCCAAATCTGGCACGATCAACGACTCAGATCAAGCGACGATCCCACTACTCGAGACAGACGGCTTATTACAACGCGACACGTGTTTTCCCGCCCGAACTCAATTCAAAAGAACGCTGACTGGCCACCCACTAAAACCCAACGACAACTACTTGTCTAGGGCTTAGGGGGCCTGATGTACCGGATAACCCCGGACGGTCCCATACATACAACTAGGACGGACGGCACCACTCAATCACTAGTATCGGACGGACGTTGACCGACAGAAAAAAGGAACGTGAAAAGACCGGACAGACGTAGCAAAAAACCCACAGATTTAGGTAACTCGACGCCATACAGGAACACGCACTAATCAATTTGTGGTTCAGCGAAAATGTCTTGACAGACAACTCTCCCATTTTCTTTAAATGTTCCTTTTTTATATAATAATCTAAAAATAACTAAATTGTATCTAACTTAAAAGAAACATAAATTTTTTATATCTTTTCATTAAAAAAACACACAATACATGAATGAATGTAAATATCAAAATTAAAAGTAAACATGAATAATAAATATGTATGATTCTTATATTTCTTTCAATATTCATTCTATTAGGTTGCAATAAAATAACATTTTTATTGACAAAATGGATGCAGGATTACAAACCTAGTATACTTTGCAATTTATGAAAAAACATTTCCATATAAAACCACAAAAGAAACATAACTAGCCCAGTCATCAATTTCAAACCCTAAAAATCTAACGGAATACATATTTTGATTAACTGAATCAAAGGCCACAACGAATTCCAGGAGTGGAAGATTGAAACTCTATACCTCAACTGACACCGTGAATAGATGGAACGACGCGGTGAGCAGGCAATTAGAGGGAGATGAGCGATTTTGGTATGAGTCAACTACGATTTTAACCTAGGTATATTTTTCCCTAAATAATTTCTATAACAAATAGAGAATTTCTTGAAGTAGGTTATTATGTTATCGTCATATATTATATATTATTATATATACTTTTTTTCCTTTTAAAAATCAGGAAAAATTTAAAATAGCTACATAGATTACATATGAAATCCTAAAGGGAGGTTAATTACATCATTTGTATTATTTGCAAACTCAAACAGTTACTTTTGAAACAGTTATTTTACTTTGATAAATTCATTGAGAAAGATAAAGAAACTATAAGCCGGAAATCATTATTATCTACAATTACTTATGTAAACTGATTTACACAAAGGTGAAGTCAACATGCATGGAAGCTAGAATGGTTTTTCACGAAATTGTCTATTGTTTGTGTTGATGACAACACTTGAAATTAACAGAAGTTACCTCCATTGGACGTCGACAATCCTTTTTTGGACACGTTATACGTTCCACTATATCCGTTGGGTGACCATAACAAATTACATTTTCTTCACATCTTTTGGAACCATCTTTTTCCTTGATCCCTCTGTAGTGCTCTGTGAAAGCCACATCAAAGCTCATTGGCCTTAATTTGTCATGCCATGTGTCGAATTCTTTGACTGTGCGACACATGGCCTCACCATGACCAAGAAGCCTCACATTTTTTCCTTTACTTAGAATGGCCCATCCCTTAGGATCTTGTTTGAGGAACAACAACCTCTTTATGTCATTTGTTGCAAACTCATTCCCTCTTTCACCACCCTTCACTTGTTTCCTGCTTGTAAGCAAGCTATCAATAGCAATCCAAAAGCGTGGAACATCTTTGCTGTCTTCCTTTCCTAGTTGGAATGATTCTATTGTCATGTTTAAATCCACGTTCGATTCAACCTTCCTCTTCAGTGCATCCATGGCTGTTGTGAATTCTTCCACCCACTTAGTGTCGGACCCTCCATAGATGAAGATATAGCAATCCTCTTCTTCAATCTGATTTTGCTTGTTACACATATATGTATCTAGGTCATTATAATTGGATTGATAGATTTCGAAATATGAGATGTGATTATATGTACGTAAATATTATTTATTTTTACTTTCATTTTTATGATAAATGTGAAAATGAATTAATATTAAGTGACTAGTAGAGATTTTAAACTTTACAAACCCTATATAACAACTTTCTTTCAAAACTTTAGGAAGAACGCTTTATTTTTCATATAATATCTCTTAGATTAGAAAAAAAAACAAAAAATAACATGTTAAATGTTTTTTACATCTCTTCTAATTTAAAAATAGACATTCACATCTCTTATATTTATAACTAATAACATTCACTTTCTCTTATATTTTTAATAAAGTTATTCTCACTTGTCTTATTTTATTTAAAAACATTATAATAACTAACAATATATAAATGAAAAGTTAAAGTTTTAAAGTATTGAAGGATTTTTTCTTTTGTAAGAAAAATAAAATATTTACTTTTACAAATAAGATAAAGGAAAGTAATTAGTGCCACTTTGTAGATAAGTGTCAATTATTAAAAGTACGAAGGAGGTTAATGGGTATTTTAAAGGGATTCTATTTTATCAAAAAATAATAATAAATATATCTTTTCTAAAACTAGAAAAATCTTGAGCAAATATATCTATTTTAGATAAAATGTTATATTTGCAAGCAAGCTTAATGCTACTAAAATTAAATTAGCCAAATTTTTTTATTAAGTATGATTTAGTTGTCAATATTTTATATATTTCAGGATGGGGAATACGAAATAGTACATGCAATAATTTAAGAACGTATATATAGTACTTACCAAGTTCTCTATTTCTTTGATGAATTTGGTGATTTCAGACCAAAACCACTTCCATTGTTGACTAAGTCTGGTTTGATCAGAAGTTCTAAACGGAAACCCATCGATGCCCCACTGAGATATAATTTGCTTTGCATCAAAATTTTCCACCTTACCTTGAGGATTCATTAATGTGATAACATTTTTTTTCTCGTACTTGAACACTTCCTTAATTAACTTGAGGCTTGTTTCAAAATTCAAATATTTAACCACGTACCATCCAAACTTAGTATCACGTAATTTATTTTCTAACTTTTTTCTACCTTGGTCGTTCCATTGATCCACAATAGGGATCCACAAAATCTTGAAGTCTTCACTTCGATAGTTTTCTACTTCTCTTGCTTTCTCCTTCAACTTCTCGTTTACTGAGTTTAAAATTTTAATGTCATCGTCAACATTTTCAAGACCCGAAATGAATAATAAAACACACTTCTTTTTAAACTCTTCCAGTTTAACCTGTTAAGATAAAATAATTAATCTCACGAAAAATTTAATTATATGTATACAAGTTTTTTGCACTATTAGTGAGTACCTGTTTTTCCGTGAGGCCAAAATAATACACATTCTGTCTTAAATCCCTCTTTTCTCCACAAAATATGAGTGCTTTCAAAACCTTTACAATATCTCTACCACGAGTCACAATGTTCTTACGGCTCGTGAAGTCCTCAATTCTTTCTGCAATAACCATACATAATATCTTTTTACAAATGAGCTTCAATTCAGCATCTTCATAGTTTTGAAATTGCATTAGAAAAAGGGAATGAGTTACGAAGCACATGGTTAACCTATCTCGTTGATACACTTTTTTAGAAGTTCTTTAAATTCTCCTAGAATGGAGTTAAGCTTCTTCTCCAAATTAGTCGATAATTCATGTCTTTGATACCTTGCAATCAATAAACACGACAAGCAAAAACAGTTAGATCTCTTCGATCTATTGTTTGAATGATAAATAGAATACATTTGTTAAAAAAATGTGTAGCCATGTTTTGGTTTCTTTACAGTTGTGGTGCGAATTGGGAATCTAAACGCAAATCTAAGTGTCACATTGAATAAAAATGAGAAAGTAGAATACTATATAAAGATGATCCGTTGTCTTCCGATTTTCCTTAAAACTATCGGAAGTGTAAAAAAACCCATGTTTCTCTATACTATATCAATGATGATTAAATAGGTGACATGCCTTACTTGTTATCAGTGAAGTCATTGATTTCACCAGTGCAAGAGACAAAGGTAAAGATTGCCCAGTACACAACAACAGGGATCTCTTGCAAAGTTTCTGCCAATGTAGGAACGTCCCTTATGTCATGTCCTGCACTGACAAGCTTCTTCCACTCAGTGATGCATTCAACCACCTGCATCACCTTCTTCACCACACTGTTGAAGTGAGTGACGTGCTTTGTGTTTTGTGGAACCATTAAAAGTCCATGCAAATCTGCAAATGAACTTTCAAACTGCTGGCATGGTGCTATAAGAGGAAGAAGGTACAAGAATTTTCCGTATTCAAGGGCAAAAGCTGCTTCAACTATGAGCACTTTTGCATCCCATGAATAATGTTTGAGCTGCTCCAGAATCAACATCGTTGTGCAATGCACTGGATATTCACCACGAGGTGTGCATATCATCTACATGTCCAACAAGTTTGTTTTTGATATATCACATATTGTTTCTATTAAACCTTTTTCATTTACAAAACTTCATAACTTTTAATTACAAACGGATTAATTGTACTTCATAAATTTTACAAGAATATGAAATCGTAATAAGGTTTAATTGCATTTTAACTATATAATATAAGAGTGTCAAATTCATGATATATAAATGTGTCCAATTCATATACGAAGAGATTGATAACATCTCTAATTTAAAATTTAAAAACAATAAGTTTACTTCCTCATATATTGTTAACTTTCTAAAACTTGAGACTTAGACTCCTTTGAATTTTCATCACAAAATTTGACAACTACTATATTAATAACATCAAAATGGTTGTCTGAAACTCAAATTTTCATAAATAGGCATAGAAGGTTATGTTACATTCATCGTTTTCATGAAAATTTGATTAAATTTCTAGTTGACACAATAAAAGAAATTAATAAAATCACCAGATACGCTATTCGCTTCAGTTTAGCAGCAAGTTGTTGGGAAGTTATGCTGGTGTCTTCTTTGAACCCATCCATGGGTTGATCACCCTGTTTTAATAGGAATGTTTCATAAGAAAAAGTTTTTTATGTTATTCAAAAATAGCTATTATTTATTGCAAAGGGTATAAGAAAATTACCTTAGCAATCACCTTCTCAGTGATATCCATGGACTGGTTGAGAACATTTGAGGCAACAGTGTAAAGAGATGCTGCATCACACTTTTCAAGACAATGAAAATGTGTTCTGTAAACATCCTCTAGGATCTTGTCGTGAGTGAATTCCAATGGATTCTGCTTCTGCTTCATCATCCCTTGCTGCTGCCCATTAGTACTATTTGAACCTGACTCGGACATATTGTGATTCACCTTAGCTTACACTATAATATCCTACAAACAATTCAATATCAAAGTAAATGTAACCTCTTTAGATTTATAGTTTTCAAAATACATAGAGCATGGTTTTATAATGCTTAGCATAGTAAATTATTCGTTTCACCATAGAAGGGACTACAGGCATGCATGGATATGATCATTCACACAAGAAAGCATCTAAAATCAAATGATTAATAATGTCAGTTTTTCCTCAGTGATCCCTGTGTTAGGATAGTTGAAAATGAATTGTGTCTTGTATGAATTTGTAGTATTGTAGCCTACACTTTTGCTTTTCAAGAAAAGAATATGATGTGAAAACACGTTGCACTTTTTAGTTTTGATTTTCAAGAAAAGAATGAGGATAATAAAAAGTATTAGGATCTATCAGACCTACAAGAAAAGAACCTCGGTGTAACTACTATTGATACTTGTATTCTATTGATAAGAGATGCATATGCTCTAGGAAAATGTTATCATCCTAAACGTCCCATAAATTACGGGGAACCTCATTTTCTAAAGTTTGAGAATGCGCCCTTATTTATATTATTTCGTAAGATTTGCAAATTAAGAATAAAAGAAAGAAATTTTGAAGACTATTTTGGGTGTGAGGTCAAGTTACTGTTAACACCTGCACTATTTTTCCTAGGATGTCGTCCGATATCTTCTCTTCTTGTCCTTTTCTTCGCTCTACCTTATATGCTTAAGTCAGTTAATTGTCCGTACAGTAGCTTAGTATAATGGTAATAAATGTGCGGTAAATGCGAACACCTACCTCTTACCTTTGACCTGTATGTATAATTTTCAATATGAGCTTGAGACTAGTGGAATTTTAATCACGGCCCAAGCTCAGCCTAACATCTCTAATTACCATTTACCAATCTTTGTATGGAGCCTAATTGATGATCGAGGCCGGTCCTTCAGTTTATGATCGTCTGGTCTTGTCCGATGGTTCTGTCATGCTTAGTTGGGTTTTGCTCCTTGGGCTGTCAAGCTGGCTTGATTATGAGGTGAATTTATGGCATCCAGACCATACGGTACATAAGCCCTAAGCAACGTAGTTGGTGTTGGGTTTTAAATGCAGGTGCTTTTGTCATGCAAGGGGTTTGTTGATGGACGGTCGACTCTTTTAGGAGTGTCGTTTGGCGGGAAAACACGTGTCACTGCTTTGTGCGTCCTACTTCTCGGGTACTGGTAGCGTCGTCAAACCAGGGCCATTGGACATGGTAATTTTTAACGGTTGTGATGATTTAACGATTTTCAAAAGAAAATTCTATAAATAGGGGGATGAGGTGCTATCATTTTCACCCTTTTTCTTTATTTTGATCTCTAAAACGTTCAGTCAAGAGCTTCATTCTTTTTCCAAGGTAACTAATAATGGCTATTGTTCATGTTGGTTCGTCGTCGGAGTCAACAAGAAGAGGTGGCGGTGGCGCGGCGGGAGGCGATGATCGGTCTTCCTCCCCCAGCTCGGTGTCGTCCTCCTATCTTGAGAGATCCGAGCGGGAAGGTGGTTCGGAGCCACAACGTCCAGTACATAGTGGGGAGTGGAGTGATTTCGGGCCTCGATCTCTTGTATATAGTGGAGAGAGAGTTATCAACGAGGTCGCTATCGACCTTCTCATGGGCGGAGTCGAGATTGATGACGATAAACAGATTTTAGTGGACGGTTGGCCGACCGTTCGGGGATATGGGTGGGCGTCTCATGACGTAGGTCTCTAAGTGTCTGAATATAACACTAAAGCGAAATTTCAATGGCGGGTCGACCAATCACACATTGTTAGAGATGTAGAAGACTCCCAACTAATATGGTTGGGTTTTAGCCGTCTGAACGAACGAGTTTTCCACGGATAAGAGTCTAGCGTGGATGACTTCTTTTTCGTGCACAATTATTTATTCAACCAGTTATTCATTCGGGTACCCTTCATGGATTTTCAGTCGGTCGTTCTCCATGAGCTCAACGTTAACCCCTCCCAGCTACAACCGAACGGTTGGGCTTCAATGCAAGCGTTTGTAGTAGTTTGTTCAGCCATGGGGATAACCCCTACAGTCCCTATTTTTCTTCATTATTTCATTGCTCATCCTATTGCTAAACGGGGATGGGTGTCCTTGACGTCCATCAAGGATAATTTTCTTTTTAAGTCGTATTCAGATTCCTTCAAAAATTTTAAGGACCAATACTTTAGGGTTATAATAAAGGAGTCTGGCCGATCAGAGTTTCATGAGAGGCCGAACTTCCTTTATTTCCTTTTTATTGGATGAGTGATCCTCGTAAGATAAACACGTGGGCGGTCGGCATTATGAGTCCGGAGGATTTGGAGGCTATAAAAATCATCAATGGTTTGCCCCGCCGCCTTCATGCTCGCGGCCTCGTCAAATGCCTCGGATATGAGGACTTTGATCAACTGGCATTCGGTATGGTATTTTTCATTGATTGTTTTAGTTGGTGATTTGATGTTAACTTAGATAAATTTGTGTCTTCCTTTCAAGCATTATGTTTATTCCAACTCCCCGAAAATCTAGTTTTTTCTCTTCAAGGAAAGATATGGGTGGCGCCCCTTCAACGCGTAGGGATCCCTGGCCGCCTCCGACTGGCCGGGCGGTCGAGGCTACAAAGAGTCGTCCGTCCAATACCATTGCGGAGGCTGTAGGGGCTGCTCAAGTCAACACTCCTCAAGGTACTTCTCTGGTTGTCCTCAAGCAGTCTTCGGGGACGGCCACCGTTTCGGGTATTCCTCTAGAAAGGAAAGGAAAATCTCACAAAGAAGGGGAGAAGTCTTCTTCTAAGAGGAATCACCAGGAAGGGAGTATCGCCTGGCCTATTCCTGATGGAGTATTTAGTACTCTATTCAATGTTTGTCACAAGACTAACTTCCACATGAATTCTATTCAGCAGGAGGTCGTGGAGCTGCTATATAAAGCTGAAGTCACCAATGCCATGTTGAAGCTATCAACCCGGGCGTTCATGCTCGCATGGTAGCTCCGGGAATTTGTCGACTGGCGAGGTGTGGAGAATGTTCAGGCAGAGTAGACCGCCGAAAAAGAAGATCTCCTCTGACCTTCGTGTCGTGGTTGAGGCGTTGAGGGCCGCCCATGGAGCGTTTGCAAAGAAACAAGATAATCTCCAGCTTGAACTAGAGGAGGCCATGCGACAATTGAATGAAACCGTTAGTCGGCTAGATGACGCACAAGCTAGGGGTAACCAGGCGGTCAAAGAGTGTGGTCGCCTGAAAGCGGCGGCCAACAAGCATGCTGAAAGGGAACAAGAACTGGTTACAAAGAACAAGACCCTTTTAGGAAGACTCGAGCGGGCGGATGAGAAGATCACTGCGTTGAATGCCTCGATAGTGTTCGAGCACGAAGAGGGTTTCAACAAGGCCCAGGCGTTCTTTTTCTTGAGGGTGGTCGATCCGTACACCGCGGGTTTCGATATTTTGAAAGTGGTTGTTGATGGGGAGCTAATCTCCCTTGAAGAAACGCCCGACAACGAAGGAGATCCTGTTGTAGGGGAACTGTCAATCGAAGAGGAGGAGCCAGAGGTCGAGGATGGTGATGATGGCGTCGATGGCGAGTAGGACAAACTTAGGAAAATGAAGGGGGGGAGGATATTTTGTTTAGATTTTTTGTAGCATGGCCGGGCGGCAAACAAGTTAGGTTTTGTTAGTGTTTGCTCCACCGGCCCGCTGGTACAATTTGATGTATATCCCAGTTACTTATTTTATACAATGGTTTTGCTTTTCTTTCTTGCATTGTCTTTTTATCACTTTTATTTCCTGCTAAGTTATCGCTACTCGTGATCGTTTCAATTTGACGCCCTACTTTCAAAGTGTCGTTTTATTTTTTAGCATTCTTCATACCGGATGGCAGTGGTTCATTTGAAGAACGCGTCGTTCACCGCCCGACTAAGTTAACAGAACTAGCGGACAAGACCGAACGATCATAAGCTAAAGGACTAGCCTTGGTCATCAATTAGGGTCCATACAAAGATTAAGGTAAATGGTAATTAGAGATGTTGGGCTGAGATTGGGCCATGATTAAAATTTCACTAATCTCAAGCTCATACCGAAAACTATAAATACAGGTCAAAGTTAAAGGGTAGGTGTTCACATTTACTACACATTTATTACCATTATACTAAGTTACCATATGGACAATTAACTCACTTAAGCATCGGAGAACATTTGGTAGGTACACCTCTGAACAGTGGAGCGAAGAAAAGGACGAGAAGAGAAGATATCGGATGACATCCTAGGAGAAATAGTGCAGGTGTTAGTAGTAACTTGACCTCACACCCAAAACATTTTTTAGCATTCTTCGTTCGAACGACAATGGTTCATTTGCAGAACGCGTCGTTCACCACCTGCTAAGTTGACAGTGATTTTCCTTTAGGAAACTCTCCGTTCATCAACTTGGGTTTCATCTAACCTGGGCGACAACGATTGGTTAATGAACTCGACGTTCACCGCTTAGCCAAGTTGACAGTGATTCCTTCTGAAACTCTTCGTTCATCAACTTGGACTTTGTTCGTACCGGATGGTAGTGGTTCCTCTCGGAACTTGCGGTTTACCACCCGACAGAGTTGATAGTGGTTCCTTTCAGTTCATCAACCTGGGTTTATGCTGACGAGTCTATTTGTTCGTCCGGTTTCATTTATCTTCGTTCACAAGTTCGTTATAAATGAAATACTCAATCGATGTATTAACTTTGGTAAAAAGGAGATATACAATGAGCAATCAACTAAAATAAAAATTTAATTGGGATGCATTCTAAGTATTTGGAATAGTTCGACCGTCCGGATAGGCGAGACGGTAGGTCCCATTTCCAAGGTCCTTTGCCACCTTGAAAGGTCCCTCCCATTTGGCCGCTAGTTTTTCATGCGAGGTCATTCATCTTGCTTCACCAGTTTTCCTTCATACAAGCTCTCCCTCTTGAAAGCTCCTAGGTCGCACCTGCTCGTTAAGCTGTCTGATTCTTTCGTTCTTTCATTGTATCCAACTCCACCCTTAGCTCATCTTCGTTTAAGTGAGTGTCTTCGATCTGTCGTCGTAGGGAAGGT